TTCTCCTCTGCCGTCTGCCCGCGGCTCCCCGGGGCAGCCTCCTCTCAAGGCCGGGCTTTGGGACCCTGTTATACTCTACCCCATCCCACGGAACCAGCCCCCCCCCTCCAAAAAACCCAAAGCTTACACTAAAAAATGAAATTTTATTTAGATAAATTAAAGTTGCATTACATGATAAAATGTGTGGAGTTCAGTAGCTTTAAAAAAAAAAAAAAGCAGCTTCTGTTACACTCATACCCATCAAGGAAGCCGCTCTGCATTTCGAAAACAGTTAAAGGTGTTTCATTGTACAGGAAGGTACTAAAAATACAAAATGGTCCATATACAGGAGTCACCAAAAAAAAAACCAAACACCCTCACAGGTAAACCAACATTTCAAAAGAAAGAGCAAGAGTATAAAATGAAAAATGAAACTAAGAATCACAGTGTAACAGCAAGTCTCAGGTGTGCCATTTTCCGTTCCCATCACAAAGCAGCCTGCAGCAGTTTTCCCTCGCTGCCACCCTGTTAGTCCCAAAATTTCTCCATTGTGGGAAAGAAGCAGGGAGCAGAAGCAGCCCAGGGAAGGACACAGCTTTTGCTGGAAAGCTGCAGGCTTCTAAGACCCTCTGATAAGGTGTCACGCTTCCCTTTCACCTCCCAAAGTCGCAGGACATCTATTTCCAATGTCTGCTGCTGCCGTCCCACTGTTCCTTTCACCTCCCCCCATTTCAGACTTCGAGCCTTCTCCTGCACTCGCACCCGCAGGCTGCCCCCGACAGCAGAAGGGCCAAGAGTGATTACAGTGGGCATTAAGTGGGGCTCAGAAAGCCTTGGGGTCCAGCCAGCTGGGGGGCTCAAGAGCCAGTCTGCAGCTGGGGGAAGCCTGCAGAGGAGAGCAGGAGGTGTCCTCCTGCTGCACCCTCCACGAGACAGCCCAAGGGTGAGCCAGCACCTCAGAGCCCCAGAAAGCAGATCTAGACAAGTCTATTTACTATACCTCTGACTATTTTTTTTAAACCTCTGCAGCACTGGATAAAAGTAGTGGCAGAAGTCTGCTAACACCTAATGCCAAGACCTTGACCAGAGACATGGCAGAAGCAGCTGTACAAATCAAAGGAGCAGGTTGGGGAGCAACAGTTCATAGTTGTAACAAAGTGCTACCAGCTAGTCTAGGTCAAACAAAAGCTACTGCTGTACTCTTGCATGATATGGTTTTGTTAAACTCATAGCACAAATCCATCCTGCGCTTGCAGTGACTAGGGCAATTAGCAGTTGAACTGAAAGACCACTACACACTTGCCATGCAAATTAAGCAGCACCCACTGGACAGTTAGTTGTGCCCTAGTGCCCAATTACAAACCAGCTCGGTTCCCTGGCCACATACAGAGAGCACCAGAGTTGGGAGCAGCACACTATTCTCAAAAGGAGCTCAGCTGACAACTTCACTATTGCTGTTGAAGAGCCTTGCCAAAGTAAAGCAGACTGCAACAAAACAAAACACACTAGTAGATTGCCATGGCAATACAAGAATTCTTTAAATTTTAAGATATGTTAAATTTCATACAAATCAAACTTTCAAAAATACTTTGCAAACTCTGGAATATGGCTATGATACAGTATGTACAAATAATATAATGGTTACATTTTATTGCTAGTTTTTATTATTTGGTTAAAGAATCACACAGAAGTGTATAAAAGTGTGTGGAAAGTGGCAAGAAGCACATGTTGGCTTCTTGTCCTTTTAAAGCCAAGGTTGCTTGTTTTTTTTTTTTGGTTGCCGTTTTTAAATACTGTATTTTAAAATGTCACATCAACAAAAGCATCCCCTTACTGGGTCATGTCTGCATTACCCAAATAGGATAGAAGAGCAACAGTGAAAGGCAATGGATAAAAGTTTCATTTTGCAAAATCCTTCACTGATTTATACTTCCAGTATACAATTATTCATAAAACCATAACATCCAGTCCAAAGTTACATAAAATTCAACACTTATGAACAGACTTCCATACATACTGACGATTCAGTAAGGTAGACAATTTCAGTTCACTAATTATGCAAAAGGCCACAATAAGATCAGTGATATGTGTGGGCAAAGTCATCTGATTTGTCCCTGATCCGGCCTGCAAGAGAATCTCTTCTGCAAAAGTCACGTTCTGTGTTTCAGAAGGAATTCCTGGGTTAAGACATTCTGTATTTAGATCCACTATTATAAACTTCCTCAAGCTCCTCTGCAGATATGGTTAACAGCCATGGAAGTAACCATACTAATGAAGCCTCACTTACATAGCATTTATCAGCAGATAATGCTGACATGACTGCACTTTATCCTGCCTTTTATATCCCTTTATTAACAAAAACATACTGGTTTGGGTATCAAGAAGCAGTCATATTAGCCTAAAGGAAACAGCCTAAAGTTCTACTGAAGGCCTTCCCCACCTGTTCACAGATCTAATGACAAGGAGCTCTACTGGGGCACAGAGTGACCCCGAGAACAACAGGTAGAAGAAAGTGGCAGCATCAGCACCCTGTTAAAAAGGATCTCCTGTGACCAGTCAGCAAGACCAATAGCACTCCTCTGATCCTGCCCCTGCAGACAGCAGAGGCAGGAACTATGAGTGCCATTCAGCAAGCTGCACTGCAGACTTTTACCTCTTAGGCATCTGTTAAAGTTCTCCAATGGTTGTGTTTTTTTTTTGTTTCATTGATACCTCCATCTCAAAAAAAATCTGGATGCAATACAGCAAAGCTAAAAGAAAAGCTGAAGTGAAAAATCCAAGTGCTTGGTAGGTAATTGCTTCTGTAGACTCATGATATAAAAGACTTTCACCCTTTTCCTGTAAAAATAAGTTCTGTTATAGATGGGCATGATTTACCACCCCCACCTTCCTCTGCCTGAGTCCAAACTCATTCATGGATATACTTAGTCAAAATTAGGATTTTAGCTGAAGCTCTTAACAACCCCGTTCAGGTTCAGTCTCTCTAACAAACATGTTTACTACCAACATAGCCCAATACAAACTTCTCCTTAAATATGCATAATTTACTCTATTTCAAATATTTACAAGCAGAAAAAGCCTATCTTTACAAGACAAATTTCTTTCTGCTCTACATAAAGTGCAGCTCTCTAATTTAAGGCAAATTTAGTGAAATATAAAACCATGGGTTTATTTTTGTATGTACACATTTTAAATTAAAAACAAGAACTCCTTTGGAAAGAAAAGAGTGACAGGTAAGTGTTTCTAGTAGGTTTAGGATTTTTCTGCATTTTAACACTGTCCCAATATTGTGTTCTATCTACAATAAATTTGTAACTTTATTTTTAACACACACAAATGAAAGAAGTAGCAATGTGTACAGTAATTTAGCTCCAAGGATCAGTAAAATACTGGGAAAGTGCAGATGCAGTTTCTTCATGTCCTGTAGTTTCCTTTAGCTACAGTAGCATCCATCCATACCATATTTCTAAATATATACTCTATACACCTAAAGCCAATCTCAGTTCTTGTAATGAGTATTTTTCATCTCTATCTGTATCAAATTTCTTAAAGCTGTGCAACTCTTGGACTGTAGAGCCAAATAGCTTTTGAAGATCTTCATAGGATAGTTTTCCATCAGCATCTTCAGTTGTTTTTTCAAACAAATTCTGAAGATCTGCAAAGAGAATAATGACTTAGAAGTAATTTTTTGAAGCACGCAAGAATATCCTGCATGTTGCTCTTCCAGTTTTACTGCATTACATGTTAATACCTAATAGTTAAATAAAGCATTCCCAAGTATGTAGCTTGTCTTCTATGTTGTCTCAAGCAGCAAGTAACAGTTTCGGAGAAATAGCATAAACAAGGATTTTTTTAAATTAAATTACAGTAATTCTGAAAAAATAATCCCTATTTCAAGCCACAACTAATAGCCCACTCTACAACCACTAACTGCATAAAGATGCAGTTGTCTTCCACAAAAGCAAGCTCTGAGCGACTGTTGCTATACCAACAGAGCAGATCACATAAAGGGAAAAGTGTCTATTCATTTCCTGATGCAAAGCACTGCCCTTTTAGTAGTTGAAAAGACTGAACAGCAAGATCCAAGAACCATTCATTCCAGGCAGTTCCCTCAAAAAAAGAAGCTGCCAGCACCATACACCCACACCTACTCCATTTTCCTTCAGCACTCAATTCTGCCCTTAATTACTCCCCCAATCTCTGCTTTAACACTTGGCACAATACTTCCATATGCAAAAAAAACCACTTAAAATTCACCTTAGCGCACACTCCTCTTTAAACTGTACTTTTTCTTTTACCGGTGAGTGTCCATTTCCTCCCCTTCCCCTTCAAGTCCACAGTTCTCAAGCTTTTCAGCTTGACCTCACTTTTCCCAGCACTTCCAGACACACTACCGAAATTCCCTCTGCAGTTACCTACCCCTAAACATTTACACAAATTTAGGAAAGAAACAGTCAGCCTAGAAAGGACAAACCTTCTATGCGTGATATTCCTGGTAAGGACAGATGTCTCAGCTGTCCATTCTCCTCTATGTTGTCATCAGCTGACCTTGAAGCCAACCTTGAAAGGTCTGTGGGCTTTGCTGGAGCACTTGGACTACTTCTAACTGTTGTAAAACAATTTCTATTAGTCTTACAAATTCCACAGAATTAACAGTCAAACAAAACGCCAGTAAAACTAATTAAGAGACTTTGCATTGCAGATACAGTACTGTATGGGATAAGAATGGTGTGAAATTGTTTCAGAATACAGTATGTTACCCAGTCTTACCAACAGCATGAAGAACAGAAGGAAAGCAGCTTTTTTTGACAGCTATACAGCTTTAATCTTTCATGCTGTACTAGGAGACATATGCTTGTATACCTCATACACAGAATGATTGGTTGGAAAATACTACCTTCTAGTCAGAAAACGTTTAACGAGCTGTACTAATTCAATCCACATCTGTCCACCAGGGGTTGTTTTCATCTCTCCCTTCTATGAGGGGAAATCATTGTCTACTCCCGTAATAAGCAACTGATACAGACAAACCACAAGAGTAAACTTGTGAAGGGAATTCTAACATAAGTGTCAATTCAGTTATCTATCTACCCTTCCAGCGAGGTGGAAGCTTCTAACTTTGCTGATTAGCAAAAGAGCAAGCACAGTTCTAAGGTGGTGAAGTGTTTCAAGTCATCTCATCCGCAGCACTGCACAAATACATCCAGAAGGGCAGAACTGAGGCAAGTCAATGGAAAGCCAGACTTTTCCTTTGCTATACTAAGTTTTCGAAAAAGTAAAATAGATGTTACCAGGTGCAAACTTTTACAAATACTCCTGTGCCAAATAATTCCATGACAGTTTGACAATTCAGTATTTAACCATTGTATGCCTTCAAATACAGTTAGTCAAATACAAGTAATGACAGATGTGAATCCTACCATGCACACGGAAAGCTATCTTCAAACTATTTATACTCAGTTTTCTGTTTTAGAGCCACTACATTCCTACTACCTTGATCTTCACCAAATTCTTAAATATTCCGCATCATTCTCCTTCATTACATATTCTTTGAATTACGCAGTGAACCTTCAGCTTTATGGATTGCTATTACATGAGATTCTTACCATTCTTCGATGCTTCAACAGATCTGTCATTTTCTGGCTTGCTTGAGAGAGCACTGATCAGCTGAAGCTTCTCTCTTAGTTTTGATACCTGAGAATCTCTAGTTCCTGTTTCCTGCATATGTAGAGAACATTTTTCTTAAGAAGTACCCTTCATGTAAATCAGAAAGAATTAATTTTAGGAATGTATGTACTTTTCAATAGCTTTCTGCTTTCCAGGCTGATCAAGTTCTAAATGACTAACAAGATTTAAAAAAACAAAACTATGGAAAGATATAAGGAATAAATTCACATGGTCTGTAAGATAACAGAACCTCAACCTGGAAAGGTTGAGCAAATTCTAAAGAATTTTTTGTATTTCTTATATAAAGGAGAAAGATTCTGAAAAATCATAACAAAACATAAGTGTACATGGAACAAGCATTCAATACATTAATTGAATTACATAGCAGTTACAAATGTTTGCCTGCCGCACTGAATACATACATGTATGCAGGAGCTATTTTATCCCTGTCAAAGTAAACCTACCATATTCTGTATTTACCTGTTTGGCTGATTTTCTGAGTAGGCTCCAGACTATAGTTTGAGTCAAGAACTCCCATAGGCCTTTGAACTTGACATATCTATGTGGTCACATCAATCCAAGCCTAGAACTGATAGTGCAGCCTGTTCACTCACCTGCCTTCTTTCCAGAAGGCAGAAGCCAACTTCAACACCACCATCCCTTATCCCCAGTCAAGAACTTGGCCGTTCAATTACTCTATTAAACTTGCTCACAGCCAGTCATTACATCATTACTGAGAGAAGGTTTTCATCAGTTCCTAGGCTCCACTGGTACAAAGTTTCTTCAAGTCAAAATCTGGCTGTTAGCTCCTGGCTACAGCTCCGAGGTTGAAGAACAAAGGACTATGCACACTTGGGCAGCACTGTCTCACCGAGTTCTTTCCCCTCACCCTTTCATGCTTTCCCCTGTGCTGCGTGACATATCAAGGATAAATATAACTCCCAAGTGATTTTTTTTTTTTTTTTCAAATCTGAATAAATGCCCAAACACCACTTGCAAAGTGATCCCACAATAGTTGGACTAGCCCAAGAGCACAGCAATGGGAACTCAAACCAAGTTGGCTGCCGGAGTCCCCCATTTCTCTGGGCCATGGTTTGTATCTCCTAAGATTCCTTCAGCTGCTTGAAAGGATATTACAACAGTTCTGTTATGTTATCCTGTACAAGCAAGTCTGGGATCACTATTCCACAGACTCAGAATAACAAACCTTTAACCTATCACAATTTTTCTTCCATCATAAATCACCTCCTGACACAAAACGGAGTGGACAAGCTGTCCTTCTACTCTGTACTTTAGAAAGTGGATTAGCCTGCTTACAAGTTTTCTCCTTCATCAATTCCCATTTACAACAATTATAAAGACAATGACAGTCTACTAATCCAGTGTAATTTCCCCTTTTAATTTACCTTCAATTCTTTATCTGAAAGAGTTTCATTATCGAGTTGATCTTCATTTTCCATGTTTAGAGAGGTAGTTGCATCATTCCCCTATAGGGAAAATGGAGAACAAGAGTTAATTCATTTGCTTGCTGTTTTCTACAATAAAGTTTTTTCCTTGAAATTTGGCAGGCATGAAGCAGGGAAAAAAGAGCAAACAAACTAGAAAAAAATATTGTGAAAGAGTTGGTTATGTAGTTTACCATAGCAACATCAGCACATTTCTTATTGTTAGACATACCGAATGCACGTTCACAGACTCATCCCAATACGGCATACAGAAAGCCCTGGAAGGATCCAAAAGCATATTTAATTGCTTTTTGAGTATTTAAGCGCTGCTGAACAATCCAGAGGCCCACCTAACTCCTCACTGGGCTTAACAGACTCCTGAAATGATAAAGTGTCTTGCCCAAACATAGTTCAAGAGGTTGGTGGATCCTGTTTCATCAAGCAGCTGCCTAAGTCTTAAATGTTGCAGTGCTTTGCACGTTTTTCCTGTAGATTCTGCAGGGAAGAAGTGACTTTCATCAGAAATACTCTTAAGGTTGCTACTTATTTCTGAACAGATAATGCAGCTTCCAGCCTTTTAAAAAGGAATACTAATCCTCAAGTTTCACTTTGACATTTTATTTTGGTTAGGCTTTGAAAAGCTACGTGTATACTACATGGAAAGCATTCAAATTACTTGCTTGAGTAGACACCCACAGACACCAAATACTTACCACACTGGTAGACAAGTTCTCTCGTTTGTCCAGCTTATTCACAGCAACCAGAGAGCTTTCTAACAGCGTAACCTTCTGGCTTAGATTACCAATGGCTGAATCCACATTCAGAAGCTTTATGTCATTCAACTTTTGGTACCTCACTACAGTATTATTTAGCTTCTCCAAAGCTGCACGCAGGGACTGGCTTTCCTGCAATATAAAACCAGGACACGTGAGTTTACTCAACAGCCGCAGCATTCTTGCTGTTAACAAGATACTGACTGACCCAGTTTAACCAGGTAGACTTCAGACTGGCTTCTCACAGAAGCCGCTGAAACCATTCAATTGGAAGTTTACAGGAAGTTATTCCAGCTTTCAAAGTTTGAAATTTAGATTTTCCTCAGGGTTAACCTCTTTGCTGCTGATGTAATCAATTCAACTGTGCCAGCAAACAACACGCAAAGCCCATTCATCTAGTTTTCCAGGTTAAGCTTGGTTAGTAACTATACCAATTATTTTCTTTCCCAAAGCAGCATGTACTAGGCAATGTTTACAGAAGAGATTCACTTTTGAGGAAAATATTGATTGCATTAAACATAATAAATGCATCAATTCCACTCCAAGCCATTCCAGCTAACCACTCAAACATTCATTTTTTCCTTGAAATCCTGCTCTCCATACCTTATTACATTGAGGGTGACTCAATACATGCCACTCCCAGATTTGTTCAGAACAGCAAATACCTGCCATAAACCCCATTCAGTATAAAGCATTTAATATTGCCATTTACATGAGCAAAGTACAAAGCATGAGCAACTTGTTCAATAGTCACGTCAGTCTTTCTACTCCTCATCCAATTAAAGTGCATAAAACACACTTTCACACTAGGATACTTTCATACTTATACATACCGAGGAACAAATTACAGTAAAATCGTCTTGTACTCTGTTTTGAAGGACACTACTGGTATTTGGTCTTGACAAAAAGACTTTTTATGCACTAGAACGTATCAAAACACAAAGCTTCACTGTAAGTTGTACCAATATTCCTTATGCAAGGAAGTAATATACCTGTTCGCAATTTTCTGTCTGATTTCTCTGAGTCCTTGGTGTGGCAATGGAGGGAAGTGAAGGCATCTGCTTTAACTCCTTCTAATGAAAGAAGCAGAAAGTTATGTACCAAATACCTGTAAAAAAAACCACTAAGCTTTTAAGACCAGGCAGATCATGGCTAAGAGTATTTGCTACAACCACTGAGCTCATGTTTGCTGGGCGTGCAATATTGTAAAGAGAATACAGTGAAGAGTGATTTTCCCCTTTCAAGTATGTAGGGACCAAAGCATTTTTAAAATAAAATACCTCCAAATTATCTACTCCCCTTTAATGAGGTATTACGATGCACATTTCTTTGTTACTATGTATACTGCCATATCTGCAACGTTTTGTAGCATTCACTGAGGATATACTGACTCAGTCAAGCTTTATAACATGTCTAATAAGAATATTTGCAGATAAAAAAAATCAGATTTAAAGTAATTCTCTAGTGTAGTTTAACTGAAAAAAATCTCACTTTGACTCTACTGCCATTAAGTCATTCCAACCAAAGTGAGAGAGGTCAGCATAAATACAGGAGGTAGCTTCTGATAAAGATGGTCAATAACTTCTTCCTCATTCAGACTGGAAGCTCCACATTCTACCAGAAGCTCCACAAACTGTACCTCAACACTTTCACCATCCCCAGGCCTTAAGACAGTGTGGACAGTTACTGTAAGCAGTACTCTGCATCACAAAGAAGTGGAGATTCCCAAGGCTCCACATCTGCGTAGTAGGAAGCAACAGATTTGAATCATGAAAAGTCCAACAGAGACCAATGATTTTGGCTCCAAGAAAAATACGTCCTTGCTGCCTTATAGCAGATGCCACACAGGGATTATGAGATGAGCAGTGTATTAATGTACCAACCAGCACCTACTGAGACTTCTGAAGGATTTTGAGCGCAAGGCAGAACCTCATGCAGTTTTAAAATTTTTTTCCAATTAGGCAGATAAACTTTAAAGATGCAGTCTTAAATTAGTGCATTTTCTTACCACATCATTTTGGAGCATTTCTATGGTTTTCTTGTATTCTTCAATTACTGTCTGCATATTCTCAACATCATGAGAAACACTGGTTAGAGTGCTACCTATGTTCGCTACAGTCTGGAAGAAAAAAGACAGACATTTCAGCCTTCCTCCACTGCACTATTTCGAAGTTTCAACCTGCTACACATTATGTTTTGCTAATGAAGCTGTAGACAGACTGTCACAGCAACATGCAATTGAGTTGGAGTATTCAGAACTTCCTTTGCAGACAAAACTGCTACTTATACCCATCATAGCTCAGGGCCAATAAATGAACACACACTGTTTACACCTTTAGAGTGAGTGAGTGTAAATATATATATATATATATATACACACACACACACACACTAGATAACCAAAACTATAGGTTTGCTAGTCCAAAAATCAATGTAAGCATTCTTGCATTAATAAAAAATCCTGAAACTAAGACAGTTTATCCCCTCTCTGCATGCAAAATTCACATTAAATAAGATGTCGACCTCAATTTATCTGGCTTTAATAGTCTCTCAGGCCCACCCCTCAGACATACCATATATACTGCAAAACTAGTGACACTCGCTGCTATTTTCCTAAAGGTTGTCGTTCAGATTTTCAAGCAAGTATTGCTTTTTTTTTTAAATGAAAGAAAGAAAAACACTCTGAAGCATCTGGAAAACTACATCTATCCCCCATGAAATCAACAGCTACAGCCACAATGTGCTGTGATTGCTACCTTTCCTTCTGACTACTGCACTCTTCCTTTTCTTGTCTTCATCCATTTAAATCCCCCCTTTTGCCTTTTATTTTAGAAATTCTTCTGAAAAGCTGCAGTGGTGTTTTACTAGATGATGGCAGAGTACCTACCATAGTCAGCTTCTGTTCAGGTAGGACATCCAGAAACACAGAAATATAAGCTAATGTAATGAGACACAGAGCACACCCCTATGCTTCTCACTCCATTTTTTTGTGCTGTCTTCTAGCATTAGAAGAAATGACCCATGTAAAAACCTAATGTTCCTATGACCCTCTTAAAACCATAGGTGTTTAGAACACCTTTCACTGATTCTCCAACTGCCCAAAGCATACTCAAATACCCACACAAATCTTCCTCCAGCTCCTCCTTCTTCTGCAAGTCTGAACATAGGTTCAACATACCATCTCTCTGCCCTGGGGGACCTCAGGACATCTTTAGCACCCTTCATTATTCTGATTACAAGCCTCTGCACAAGAGGCACTCTCTCAGTAATACTCCAGGAAGGAGGCTTATGAAAACCCAAATCCAATTCCAACAGTAGCAGCCTTTTCTTCAAAAAAAAGTAGGCAATTGCAAAGACAGCTGGATGCAATGGGCAGCTGAGCAGGACACTTTCAGCAGGGTTATCAAAAGCCAGGCTATCACCTACATTCTCTGATGTTCTCCTGTGTGAGGCATTGCAGCACTCGCACAGCCAGAGGTCATAAAGAAACCTGAGTCTTTGAAACCCATTGCTTTGGTTAACATGAAACTTGAAAACCATTACAATTGTTGTATTTAAACCCTGGAATAGTTTTTCCGTACTCAAGACCTCATCAAATACTTCCTGGAAGGATTCCAGCTCTGTTTTTTTTGCATCAACCTTCCAATGCACAAGCAAGACAGCATCAAGAAAGGAGTGGAAGCACCATACTTGGGCTCAACAGTAGAAACTGAAGTGAACTCAAATTTTATAACACTGTATTCAAAGTCTTTGACTTTTATGAAATGTGACCAAAGATGGGCTTATTTCAACATAAAATACAGCTTGTTTAGTAGATCACTGCAAGCTGAAACTTGCTGGCCAAGACTGCATTGCATCAATAATAATATATTAAAGGTAGCAAGAAAAATGACACCAAGGTGTCAATTTTGCGTATATATAAAATGTAGGTGCAGGTTCTGGACTCTAGGCACTACTTTAAGACTTCTGAAATGACACTAAAAATCCAGCGTGCTCATAACAGTTAAGTTATAAATTTAGGAAAGAGCTTTATACTCCTGTCAAAAAAGGAAATCCTAGCAGCCTGATTGGCCAAGCCACACTAATTACTTAGCATATTACATACATAGCAACTAGCTGGTCGATATGTATGAATTTTGTAGTGATGAGAAATAAGGATAAGTGGAAGCTCGTAAAAGCTACTAGCAGGACCGGACTGCTTTGCAAGCAGAGACAAAAAGCTTTTAATCATTTTTAGAAAAAGTTCAAAACAGACTACTCTTAAAATATAAGAGCAGCTAAGGTAATTTGGAATGATAAAACGCAGACTATTCTAATTTTGAGGAACATCACATTGACAACTTAATATAATTATGATGCGTCTATGGTATACAACAGTAATCAGAATATCAATTATGTACGTGTTTTTATCTTTACTGTGCACGCATTGAATACCAACGCCAAGTAAGTTCCCACATTACTGTGCCAGCCACACTACTCCCAATTTAGACTTCTACATTCTTCAAGACAAACAGAACCAGACAGGGGACTACACTGCTCAAGTTTAAGAAGTTTCATAAAAAACAATGTTTCCACTTCTGTTAAAACAAACAAAAAACAAAATCTAAACATAATACCTATTTACATTCAGAATTATTAAACTGCAGACAGACTTTCTGCAAGGGTCTCATGTGTTACTAGGAAGATTAGCAATCTGAAAGAAAGTAACTAGAAAGATCACCTCCAAGGTAAAGATGTGACAACATAAAACAATCAGAAACATACACATTCCCAAGAAGGGAGAACCAAGGCCTTTGAATTTTCTATCTGTCATAAGTTATCTTAAGATCATAAAGAATACATAAACTGCAACTTAAAAAAAACACAAGAGAAAAGCAAATATTTCATACAAAGTTCAGGTAACTCGCTGTCTGCAACAGCCCAGCTGCAGCTTAACACTAAAGAATGCATTTAAGAATAGCCACATTTACAGTACTTGCCTTCTGAAGTTTCTCTACTGTGACAGGAAGAGTAATTAAATCAGACGCAGACTTTATATTGGTTTTGAGATGATTTACTGTTGAGGTCAATAGTGATACCTAAAACCAAAGAGGAGTATTTAGAATTAACCAACAGTTTGATTTTGACCTTCCCCAATACTAATTAATACTAATGACTTAACTGGTAACATAAAAACATAAGATACAAGAAAAATATATACACATACACAGAACACCTATGTCTAAGTTAGTCTACTTAGGCTGTGACATTAGAAATCAGTTCTACCTCTTGCAACTGGGGCAAGTCCCTCCCCACTCCCAAATCAAAGAAAAAACAAAAGGTGCAGAAGCCCTTCCTTTTCAATAAGGTACCCTCTGCCCATTTTATATGCATCCCCTTATACATCTGTCACCCAAGAAAGATTACAAAAAATGTGCAAGAAGCTTTTACATGAAAGGAACAGTCATCTAGTTCTGTATTTGGCAATCACATCTGATCGGCAAAAGCCAGTAAAGCCATGCAAGTGGCTTCTCTAGCTGAGTGAAGGGCAAACAAAGTGCATGAATCATTCAAACGCTTTGCTGCAAAAGTGGAACAGCAAGAATCTCGGTATAATGGGTTAGCTCAACTTCTGTCAACTGTTTTACACAGATGGTAGGTTATTCAAAGGGTCTTCAAGGTAATTTATTCATCCCAATCAATAGACTGGGAACTAAATTATAAGCAGATACAAGTTGGTCATTAATTGCAAAAGCTATTGCTAAGATCAGTTTGTAGCCATCAGTAATTGAAACAAATGAGAGCCATTTCTTCTCACATTGGACAACTCCAAAGTAGAGTAGATAAAACTCACTTTCTTCAGGGAAGGGCAGTTGTTTCCCAAGCTGAGGAAGGGCATGACCCTTGTTTTAAAACAAGCCAACCATGACCAATTGGCTTGCAGAGTCTCTAGATCCACAGCTGTGAATATTGGCTGAACTCAATTCCCAACAGTGCTTCTCAACAACGCACAGAAAATAGTAACTAATTTTTGTTCCTCCGAAAAGCTGGCTCAGGCTGTAACCAGACCCTGAAGTAACCGAGGGCCTGCAAGAACCATGTGCCAAGTGTCTTTAACATCCAGGTGCACACAATATCACTTTAAAAGTCCTACTAAGCACATAAGTATCTGTGGATAGCGCATAGTGTTACATGCGAAAGAAAATTATTTGTGGTCAAATTTTCAAATATACTTATGTTCCCCATTAAGCAACTAATCACCCTGGTACTAAAAATACCCTTAAATACTCTTGTACCTAAATATTCAAAATTTTAAGACAAAGCACCAGGCTGCAGTTTCACGTTTATTTTTGTTGGTGGTGTTGTTTCGGGTTTTTTTCGGTTGGCAGGTTAGTTTTGTTTGGTTTTGTCCCCACTCTTCCCCCTGCTCCCCCTTCCCCAACACCACTGACAGCAAGCAGCTCTAAATTTCTGTCCTCCAACACAAGGACTTCAGTAAGAGTCTTGCTGGATGTTCTGTTTGAAGCATGAACGAATGTATCATCTGAGGAAATAGCTTTGTTAGATGGCTCAGTTTCATCAGAGTAAACAGAGCCAAGACTTACACCAGCTCAAAGAATGGCTGAGGTTGGAAGGGACCTTTGGAGATCATCTGATGCAACCGCCTGCTCAAGCAGGGTCACCTACAGCAAGTTGCCCAGGATCGTGCCAGACAGTTTTGAATGTCTCTGAGGATGGAGACTCCAAAACCTCCCCAGGTAACCTGCTCTAGCATTCAGTCATCCTCACAGAAAAAAAGTTTTCTTATATGCCAATAGAACTCCCTGTGCTTCAGTTTGTGCCCACTGTGCCTCATCCTGTCACTAAGCACCACTGTAGAGTGGCTCAGTCTTCTTTATGTCCTCCCTTCAGATACTTACACACATAAGATCTCCTCAGAGCCTTCTCTTCTCTAGAAGAAACAATCCCAGTTCTCTCAGCCTTTCCTCATACGACATATGCTTCGATTCCTCAGTCATCTTTGCGGCCTTTGCTGGGCTCGCTCCAGCGGACCCCTCTCTCTTATACTGTGGAGCCCAGCACTGGACCTAGCATTCCCAGTGTGACCTCACCAGGGCTGAGGAGAAGGGAAGGATTACCTCCTTTCAACCTGCTGGCAACACTCTTCCTTCTAGCTCAGATTCTGAGTGTATGCATTAGTAGAATCTATATACACAAGCCATCAGTATTTCAATTGTAGTATCATGAACTTTGTCTGATTCTTGCAACTTCTTTCCACATTCATGAAACATTTGCAGATACTCTCCTCAAAGCCGAAATGTCAAATATCACATCTCATCAGGAAAGTACAGAACTGTAAAGTTACAAGGTTCCTCTAAATTCTGCCTTAAGCCTTCTCACCAGTTGCTTAATTTCTCCTCTTTGCAATCAAGCTGCAGTTCAACCAAATGTTCTACTTTTTTTGTTAATAGTGAGACTAAAATTCCATTTTAAATTAAAAAAAGTTTAGCATGTTTGCACAAGTCTGCAGAGAACAGCTCAGCACTACACTTAACGAAAAAAGTGCACAAGTTTTCGTGCTAGCAGGTTTACATTTTATACAAACAAGTAAGTTTGAAGTGACTATTCTGAGTTTTTCAAAAAAATCAGACACTGATTCTCACCTGTTTATTGATCTCTGTAATATTTATCCAAATTTTATTTAGTCCTAGCTCTCCAGTCTCAATTTGTTCTAATTCCTTTTGCTTCTGCAGCAAATCTTCATTCAGTTTAGGAATTTCCTGGAATGATGTCTTTTGATTAGATTCCACTAAAAAAAAAAAAAAAAGAAATGAGAGGTCCAGATAAAAAAGGCTGAAAAGGCAAGAAACTTTACAAGCAGGAACATCTACATATCTACAGCAGTCAAAGACAACAACAACAGCCTGTAACAGTTTACTGCCTATTCTGAAAAGGTTTGTTGGAACAGCAGCTTTTCTTTTGATCTAAGAAACATTAATATTTGTAGAAACTGTACTAAATTTAACGTTTTGCCAGTTGTGCACGATAGCACTGTCATTCTAGTAACCTTCAGCAGCTATTTAGTGCTGTTATTCTGTATTACTTCCACAGACGGACATGAAAAAGGGAATTATAAGTAAGAACCACCAGCAGTACAAGGGCAAAGGCAGCATGTGAAGTGAACCTTTATGCCCTTTTCAAGCCTACAAAGGGGTTGCTGACCATGAAGTGAATTCCAATCAGATTAGGGTGATTACAGTTCTTCCATGTGACAAAGACAACTGAATTACTCCCAGAAAACACTGCATAAGCTTACACACTAACATCTGTTGGTTTAAAAAAAATGAACAAGGTCCTTGGAAATAAAGTCAGTTAATACTATGGAAGCAGGAAATGTGTAGCTCAAAACAATTCAAGCAAGCCCCAGTAATGCAGCACTTTCAGGTCATCAGTGACAAAGCTGTGTGTCGTAAATGCTATTAGGCAATCCTAAACCCCAGGGTCTGGGAGGAAACAGTCCGCAAAGGTTTTGAGATGGAGATAAAAGCATTCTCCAAAACCTGCAACTCCACCCCACAACACAAGACTGGAATGCTCCAGAACACACACTGCCATTCTTCAGACCCCAGAGCACCAACAGCAGCAGGACCTACATGATACACATCTGGCAGTTCACTGAATGAGCTTCTATGTGGGACCCATAAGGTCAAAAGGGAATGCTTTTAAAAGGGCTTTAGGCCTATGGAGTGGATGCCCATATATACACAACCGGGAACCTGCCTTATCTTCAAAAAACATTTCACTTTAATTAAGCAAGTTATATAAGGCATTTCTAGGTATTGAGTAAATCATATTGGTAGCTCAAAATCCAAATAACACTTCTGGTAAAGACAACCTTGAAGACACTTATAACAAGGTGCATTTTAGCGAAAAGAAACTGGAGAGCTAATTTTGCATTTGTGTACCTTCCACATAAGCAGTTCATGCTGAATCTGATGGCTTGCCCTCAGATTACAGAGCCTTATAGGCAAAACATCTTCTCTTAGGCCACTCTCACTGTGCTCCTCATTGTGTGTTTTTAAGTAACCTACTTAGAGTTTCCTATTGTACTTGGAAGGTTCAGTACATTACACTTTGAGCATCACTACTAAAAACACTACAATAATTTTTTCCTCCCCCTCTAATTGTACTGCAGATGCAAAGAAGTCTTATTAAAAAAACTTTCATACCATACTCAATTTGCTCTAAGCACAGCAAAGCATAAATAAATACCGACAAGGTAAACTGTTCTTATGAAGAAAGACGTTAGATGAAGACTGAGAAGAGGAAGATTTTTTTCCAAGCCTGCCATAGGACAGACTGATCTGGGTGCCTTAATTTCTCCTTCCACCCATCTGCTTCCCTGAAGTAGGAGGATACATCTTGAAACCAGGTTATTCTTGCTGTATGGGTTTTTGTTTTGTTTTGTTTAATGGTATGTCTCAATGTGGCTCCAGCCTGGCTTCCAGGCATTGCTACTGCAGTGACAAGGAAATACGGAACTATTTCAACACTATCTGAAGGATTAAATGCACTGTTTTTCTATTACTGCTCTTAAGGAGAGGGCAAGCACATTTGTAACTGCTGGACTCTACATTCAAAGTGAACAACTGCTCTAACAAAGAGGTCTATGTAGAGCAGAAATGATGCAACTTGACTACACCACAGCCAACTAATGTTGTCATCATGCAAAACTCTTACTGTCAGTACATACTATTGCTTTAAGTAGACCAGTCCATGAAGACCAACAGCTAGCTTATCCAGAACAAGGCAGAAACTGCTACTGTAGAGCAGAGCTGTTCAGTACGGTCAGAGGCACAATGCAGCGCCTGCAACTGAAGGTATCTTCCGTAACTGGTAGACTCCAGACAGGACCAACTCTTCAGGAGTTGGTATCACTGAATGTAAGAGTACATCCACCAGCAATGCTTTCTCTCACTTCTAATCAGACAGAAGATTCCACCTTGGCAGACAGATCAGTTACCAGTTACTCATCACTTCTTAGCAGGTCTTAACAGGGGACATTCTAGACACCAACAATAAAGAATATCTAAATATGCTTCCTCAACATCACATTCTATCACAAGTAAATCAAGGCTTCTCTTCACCTTCAGCCCCTAGCTTCCTCATGACTTTAAAAATCAATTTCAAGGGCTCTGGCTGCGTTTAAGTTTTTTTTCAAGTCCACAGCACAAAAATTCTAAGATGAACTTACAGGACAAAAGCTGTAGTCAACAACGATGCTCCTCAAGAAAAACATAACTAGTTAACTTTCTCGAAGCAGCTAGAGAGCGAATGCCTAGGCCTCACTACCTTCTGCTCCATTCACACACCTCCTCAGCTTATTATTGTGTTTTTCAATATATAAGATTTTAAACACTACTAAAATAGAGCACATCAAAACACATCATCTCTCCAGAGGTAAAGTACAGAGAATCAAGTGCATGTTACATGCAGATTTTACTGTTTGTTATACTTCAGCACTACAGTGACAGTTATGGCATTGAAGTCTAACATGCACAGAGAAAACCCGAGACCAACAAGCAGAATGCTTCATGTAAATTCTGCATGTATCATATGCAATACATTAGACAAGAGTTAAATAAAAATAGGTCTGTGCAAGTAAGATTTTACACGTTAGAAAGACATACAGAAAAAATGCAATACTGAAACAGCATTTAAATTACAGTTATCTGTGAGCAAGCATTAGAAGTTTTTAAAACAGCTCAAGTCAAGAGCATATTTTCCATTAACTTTGCAGAGAAGCAGGAAAGTTCTGTAGACTTCTTTTACATGGATGACTAGTACTTTTTCTAGTAGTGGCTCCCTTTGGAAGGGAGCATTCCCAAGCCCAAAGTCAGCAATTTAGAAGAGTACATACAAGCAATCACAGGTCCACCTAGTCCAGTGTTCTTACTCCTCCTCAAGTAGTACAGATAGGCAAGCATATATGATATTTCCCTTAGACTCCCCTAGCCTCTGAGAAATTCTGTCTTGGAACTCCTCAAGTCAGGGGTACGTTGCATTCATGCTTATTCAGATCATGAAAGTACTAAGCAGACAACTAAAGCTCTTCATAATGCCCAAAGCAAAACTGAAATATTATAGTTACATTCATACTTACTTGTTCGAAACTTTTCCTTTATTGCATCCAGATCTTCCTTGAGAGCTACCTGCATCCAGACTAAGCCAACACAAGCGACCACACAAGCAGCAAGAATGACAAAAGCACATAATGGGTAGCAGAATTTGCAGCATCGTAGATATTCTCCCCTGGGTAAAACAAAAATAATAGGTTGTGAATATTCAATGGCACCTGCAAAGTTTTATTTTAAATGCTGGTCAGCCTAATTAAGGAACAACAGTGGAATAACACACACACTGTGGCTGATGAAAGTCTAGTGAAGAGTTTTGCCAAGAATAAGTAAGTCTAAACCGTGCAAACAGAGCTATTAGTCTCTGGGCAGCCTGTCCTCAGGAGAAACACCCAGCATATTAAGAGCAGCCGTCAGGTTTCTCTTACTAAGAATTCCTACTCTTCTAAAACAAATGCATGTTAGGAACATCTGCCTGATATCCCTTCTCGAAGCCGACCCTCCGAGCTATCACCACAACGCTCTCACAAGCCCCTTTAGACTACCCTGAGCTGCGGAAGCCTAACTTTCTCCGCAACGTGCCTGCTCCCAGTTACTCTTGGAGACCCGCTACCACTGCTGTTCCTTAGCCCAGAGGCTTCTCCCTCGGCGGCAGCGGGTTACTCGGCGCTCACGACACAAGCGGCACCGAGTCACCCGCGCTCGGCGCCCCGCCAGGCGCCCGAGCCGCCC